GTAAATCTTCAGTTTTTTTTAAATGGAATGACCAATATTTTTTCCTGAACGTCGATAAAGTATCAAATACTGCATAAAAAGGTATTATCATATAGAGTTTAAAGTAAACAGTTTCCATGATATCAGTAAATTTTTTGAAGATGCTGCTAAGTTTTATTTCCAATTAAAATAAGATGAAACATGACATAATTTGGACTACATTTCTTTATTAATATTTATAAAGATTTTTATTATCCATAAAACTTTCAATATTGCTTGATAAACAGAATTGTCTTTTGTATCCTCTACGCTTCCATATTCACATATTGTTCAACATATTTATTTAGTACCATTAACAATTCAGACCCACCAACATTAATCAATTTAAATGGAACACCCTGTATAAGTACGAAATTTCTACTATGTGTCTCAATGCATCCATCTTTTAGTGGATCGATAAACTATAAACCATCCATCATTCGAGGGTTCACTGCTATGCTTATGTTTTATTAGAGAATTACTTATTCACAGATCAGTAGACAAAGCTCTTTTCCAGTTAATGGAAGTAATTTCCACAAAAAATCTCAAAAACTTTTAACGCAATCTACAGTTCCCGACAATTGGTAATTGCGATAGAGATTCGCAAGGCATTGCTTCCCGACTTCCCGACCAACAAAAGCGAGACAACACAAACACACATATTTAATTATCATTCGTTGTTACGTACACTGAGGGTAAATCGCTAGTGTGGATGGATGAGTACAGTAACACCATGCGAAATGAGCTTAATGCTAGTACGACGAGGCCTTTCAGAGAACATGGACTTTAGCGGACCTGCGCAGCTAAATTCTCTTTCGTTAGTTCGGTCTTCCGACAGTTCTGTTTCCTGAGACATGTGTGCAGGTTGGGAAGCGTGCAACAAATCTTAACTACAGGATGTGTGACAAATCACTGCCTACTTTTAAATTGTCATAATCCGGTAAAGTAATACAAGCACTGGAATGGACTGTATGTTGTTCTATCGTGTCGTGAATGCCATTACTAATGCTGTTTTCAGTGTTTCAAATTTCTATGAAACTCCGTAAAATTGGTCGATGAACTAACCACTGAGGAAAAAGCTAAAATTCCCGCGAGATATGAAGTGTGGCAGTCTGTTGTTTAAGTGCAACGGTGGAGGAGGCGTCAAAATGACCACCACGTTGTTTTGGATCCAAAAACAATTAAAAAACCGTCAGAAAAGTTAATGACATCTACTATAGCGGATAGCAAGAGATCTGGTAAGCTGTCAATGTGAAGGTTTGGGGAAAATCTGAATCAACTGAAAGAAATATTCGATCGAAGTCCTTCGAAATCCACAAGGCAGGCCTCAAGCAGTTTAATGCGTCATGTTATGTGTGTTTTTTTTTCCATAAAGACTTATAATATCGACCATGGATGTCGATCGAATATCTCTTTTAATTGATATATATTTTTGTCAGACCTGACGTCGACGGTTTTTTGGATTCGAGGCAGCATATCATTCCGTAGCACTTAATTCCAATGACTGCATTACTCTAGTAGATATAACAGTTTGAAAATAGGGAGTGATTTTCCATCCACCCTGTATATTGTATTTTGTGGATGAAAAATATACAAAGTAAAAGAAAAGGACACTTTTTATGAGATGTCAGTATGAGCGTGATTTTAGTCATTGCAGAGAACTCCTATGAAAATACCCTTGTACCTTCGTTAAACAGAACGTAAATATGTAACACTGAAAATTACACAGGGAGATTACACTTTTAATTAATGTAGTGAAAATTTACAACAAAAGGTTTTAAAAAAGGGGTCTAATACTGTTAGACCTTTGGTTGGCGACTTATAATATTAGGACTTATAGTACTCACTGAAAGGAATACAAAATACTTAACTTTTACGTTTCTGTATAAAATATGAAAAATTTCTTTCACATTCACAAGAGCTGCTCAATGCATTTTTCCTCCATATGAATAGAACATTCACATTTACCTACGAATCATAAATCGACGTACATTTTCAAATATTCCTGCAATTGTCTCGAACTATACCAGATGCATTTTATGTTTATGTAGTAAGTCCACTACATTATCCATCGTTAATGAGTATATTAAAGTCTTCAACTATCCCATCGTATTCGAAGACAATAATACATTTTACATGAAATAGATAGGATGTCAGGACCTGTGTAGATTAAGCACTTTTTACTTTTCTCCAGTACTATAAGCCCATAATGTCTTAAACCCTTTTTTTAACATCCTGTACATGATAACAGTTATGATAATTTAATAGACAAATATGCACAATCAGATCAGGATGCTTATGAGAGAGGAAAATACAGTAACGAATTAATATTTGTCGCAATTTTAAATAACTTATACAGGGTGGGTCATGTAAAGTGTTATAAATTATTTTCTCGATAAATATTATAACCAGATTATATTCTACACAGACTATTGAGGATAGAAAATAACTTATTCTAACGATTAAAGGTACAGTGAGATCTTTTACGTGATGAAAACTAGTAATACTTTGTAGTATCTAAAAGGCCACAGTGATTCGTGAAACCCTAAAAATATTTGCTTCTAGTAATAATATTCTTTGAAGAAATTACAAGTACTACTTTACTTTTCCCACCCTGTATATTTTAATCTTCACCCCACTAGTTCTTACACTTATTCAACACCACAAGTTCTAGTTTCCCTAAATAACTGATTAATTAATGAACATGTAGTAAGTGTCTTAATTTAACATTATAATTCTTTCACCACCTGTTCTCGAGTGGGACCAAGATAAGAAACAAATACTGCAGTATTACTATACTTCATTTACCAGTTACAGTAAAAAAAATTAATAATACTATTTTAAAATAGTTGTACAATTTTATTAGGTTGCTGTATTTTATTATATAATAAATTTTGTTTTTCGACGCGCTTTCAGATATCTTAAACTCAATAAGCACAAGATAAAAAAAGAATGTGACTCATTAACAAGAGTGTGTCGATTCAAATGGATATCATTTCGATTAAAAATCTTTTTTTCAAGATAAGTTATAATCATTAAAACTCTGCAGTTTAGAAACGACACTTATATTTAATAATTTTGATTATTATTAAAGTTTTTAAAGAAATATCACCTGTCCGTGGTTGTGAAATCTGGGTAAACGTTCGAGGAAAAAAGCGCAAACAGATCATAAAGTTCATTGGTTTTTGGTTAATTGAGAAATGAAATTGGAAAAAAGTTCTCTTACCAGAAGACCAGCCAGAAGAACCAGACAAATAAAAGCAACCACCGAGACCACGACGACTGCTATCGCATTTCCGGAATCCGGGATCGTTTCACGTACCAGAAGGAAGCTATGTATCTGAAAAGAATGGGCCAAGTGGCAGAATATGTTAACTATATTACATGAATCAATTATAGTCATATAAAATTGACCATTAACAGCCAAAAAAACTTTAACAATTTTTCATTTGAATCCTAAATTGCTGGAGGACGCTGTAAACAGTAAATCTTTCATAAAATTAACAAGTGAAAAGTTATAGAACTCAAAAAATATTCATAGTAAAACTCAAATGAAAGTAAAAAAAAGCTGTAATTCAAATTTCATTGAAAGACGATTAGATTGAGAAATGTGAATACAACTGAAACTAAATTTATTATCTTCTACTCTAATTTAGTAAATCAAAAAAAAAATTTATTTTAAATTGTCACAGGATAATAGTTTTCCTAGTAACAATATGGCGTATCGATCGAATTCACTATTATGTAGAATTTTATTACTCGCGTATCACCTCAACACGTTGAATGCCAATCAATATCTACATTTAAGAATTAAAACTATTTTTTTTATGAAACATTGAAAAATTAAAACCTTATTTGTAATGTATATAATACGGACTTTATGCATTTCCATTCAATTCAAGCGAAAGAAAACATTAAAAATAAAAAAACGCGTGAACTTTAGTAATGTTTCTATTTTATTACCATGAATTTCTATTTCATTTTCAATTTTCTATGTTAACACTAAAACTACTGAACCCGTTGGATTGACAGCAATTACTAAAATCACAAAAGTACTTTCATCAGAATTTACGTTGATCTTTAACTTGTTACACACATACTTTTATACTACATTACCCTAAATTGTATTATATATTAGAGGCACTACCGTTCTTAATTATTAGGTTATGGCACATGAAATGGGCAATTTTACTGACAGGTATTTTTGATGTTACTTTTATGAATGAAAGTTATGAACATAGGTTCTTTTTTTTTTGCAAAATTACACAGTTACTCTACTCGTATCAAGGTACTATCTCACACAACAATAGAATCAATTATGTTAAACACTAGAGGTAATTAAGGTTGAGAATAAATCTCATTGTCTGTTTAATCCGGCAATTTCCGCCGCTTGCATTAAAAGATAGACATTTAAACTAAATTCATAAATAAGCTTCATAAAGATGCATGTAAACTTCTGTTAAAAAATATAATTTATCAATGACAACATTTGGCGGAACAATAACAGCTAAAAATCTTTCCGAAGAGTCAACTTTAAATTTAGTATAATAATTTTATAATGAATATGAGACGAATGTAACAGTTATATTTCAATGGAAGCCGTGTATACATAGAGTCTATTTAATCTTACTCTGTCTAATCATTTCATGTAGGTACAGCACCTAATACTTACTCATCAATATCAGATTTGCTTTACTAAAAAAATGCAACTTTCTCAAAAGAACTAGCTTTCTTTACAATAAAGGTTATAAAGTAAAAACCCCTCATAATTTATTGAAAATTGTCAAAATTAAATGTAAAATGTGAACGAGTAAACCTTATGGACGCAAACGTTTATAAGCGCTAGTTGTATACCACTATATTATAAAATTTAATTCAATATACATCCGACGATGGTAGTTCAGTGTTAATTATTAAAAAAAACTGCCAACTTGCATAAATATCCGTAGCAAATGAACGCTTTTTCAATCCCATCGACTTACTGTGACTGGGAATTTCACATGGTCCTTCGATTTCTGGTACAAGCTCGGAAAACTGTTTGTCATAGTCCCGTCGAATTTCCCGTCTTCGTCGACGACGTAAACCCATATCGACGTCAACGGCATGTCCGATGGCGTTGGGGTGGAGCTCGAAACCTCCGGGCACGGAGGCTGCCGATGGAACATAATTTGCTTATCAGAAACCGACCTGCAATGCAAGAAACGACGACGTATCACTGTCCGCTAAGCATGTTGCCCGCGACGTCGGGGGATAATTATGTGTGTATTAACCTCAAAACGACCCACGCTTTCGAGAACTCGTGAACTTGTCAGTCTGATTACGTTGATCCTACATTCTCTGAGTAAAAAGCGATTTTTGTTGTTGTCACTTGTAAAGAGATATTTGACGCATTCGTTTTAACCCTTTCGAGATGGATTTCTTTTTAACAATGTACAGTAAATACACGATGAGTGTTCGAAGGTTCCTCGGCATTGACAAGGGGAGGTCCCCAGGTTAACCCTCGAGCAGGCACGCTATTGAGAGGTACACGACTAGGCGCATGGTAAACTCAGTTCTCCAGTTGAAAATAATCATTTTACCCTTCTTATACATAAAATATACAATTCAGAAGCGGTTTCTCTGTTGATATGTAGTAACTTTTGATTAAATGTGATGAGAAAATGATAGCAATGTATCCGAGAATGTGTATTTTCCCAAGACGTAAATAGCAAACTCGTGAACAGAGGTCACCAACGGATCCACCCGAAGGTTAATGAGGTCTGTGAAGTTAGCACCCCCAAATGCGAAATTTTAGGAAAAACAAACAATGTTCGTTTGTCCACGATTTGTCCACATTTGTTCAACCAAAATTTTCGTTTGTCCACGCAGCAGAATCGAATTATTATTAATAAAAAAAAAACACAAAAAAATAAGATTTAATATTAACGGCGACAAACGAAAATTTTTTGTGGATAAACGTGGATATATCGTGGACACACGATTCCAATGCTTGCTTAGTTTAGAGAAAATGCAATATAAAATACTCAGAGCTATCATATCTCATTATTTACGTTTTTTTGTTGTTAATAATTCAATTCTGCTAGGTGGACAAACGAAAATTTGGGGTGGACAAACGATTCCAATGCTCAGTTTAGAGAAAATGCAATAAGAAATGTTCAGACCGATCGTGTCTCATTATTTGTTTTTTTTGTTAATAATTCGACTCTGCTGGGTGGACAAACGAATATTTGGGGTGGACAAACGTGGACATATTATGGACAATCATATCTCAGTTAGAAATGAAGGAAAAATGTTCGTGGCACTATTGATATCGTATTCTTAATTTGTTTATAACTTTTTTTTTAAGGGTGGACAAACGAAAATGTTGGTTGGACAAAACTATTGATATCATATTCTTAATTTGTTTATAACTTTTTTTTTAAGGGTGGACAAACGAAAATGTTGGTTGGACAAATGTGGACAAATCGTGGACAAACGAATACTGTTTGTTTTTCATAAAGTTTTGCATTTGGGGGTGCTAACTTCACAGACCTAGGTTAATGAGGTATGTCGTAATGATAGAGTTGGAAATTCTGAAGCCAATGGTATTTGTTTCAGTCGCATATGACCATTAGTTTGTGTAATATTTAATGTTCAGTGCCGATGAGACTTCGAACACTCATCGAGGATTTACTGTATTTCATAATACAGGGTGTTCATAAAAATATAGGACATTACCACAGGGTGAATTCTACATGATAAACTATTGAAAGACGAAAATCAATAATATTGAAACTGCGTTTGAGGCTTCGTCTCTGAGTTGTTAATCCTTTCGTTATTACAGGCGACTGTAGTCGCTCTCCACGAAACGCTGTTTATTGTATAGAGTAATGGCACCGAATATGAGACCCTATAATATTTTCCCAAAGGAAGTGCTGTAATACTGGAGCACTTTTTACAACTAATAAAATAAATGACAACGTCGTTCGCATGAGATTACCATTGACGCGGAAACGATTGTTCCAGTAAGTCGCCAATTAGTTTGTTTTTTCTCGTCGTGAATTTCTATTCGTATTAGATTTCGTGTATTGTTTCGTTTTCGATTTTTAGTGAAATTCTGTATTATATATAGTCATTTACAAAGAAGCATTGTACAACGTTATGGGTAAGTTATTTTATCACTTTCTTTATTAGATTCGACTCTTAGGATTATCAACTAATTCTATTATAGTTTAAATGAAACATTAAAGGCGAGCACCACTTTGATGGGTGGGAAAGTAAGCCTTCTTTAAGAATTTTTTCAGGAATAATCTACAATTATCGCATAAAACGTTTATTACGTAGTTTTAGTACAATGTTTTAAGAGGTTTAAAAAAAATAAAATTCATAGAAATGTCTGCAGAAACTTGAATATACGATTCATTTCTTAGACCCAGCACAAAAAGAACGCAGGTAGTTGGCGGGATGTGTAACTTTGGCATAACAGCCCTAAAATCAAATGTAACAAATTTTTTATAAACTATACAAGATTAGTTTCTGCTCACGTACGGATGTAAAAAAAAATAATTTGTTTAAAAGTAGCGCGAGTACAGTCTCGTGTACAATCAGTTTTTTAAAGCCACAAATTTTGTACTCCTTTATATTTTCACTATTTTCATAATAAACAATAGTAGATTAGGAAACTAATATTATCCTTAAACATGTAGATGACGAATATACACATATATCGTAGTAGCATCAACCCTTTTAATTTTTCCCTTTCTATTGTCCGATACTTAACCAATTACATATACATAAATGGGATTTCGTATTCGGTACCGTTACCCTATTATGGGTCACTACAGTAGCTCTCCACGAAACTGTTGATATATCAGTATTTTGTCCATAGCATATTATTTGTTTTAATGTCATCACTATAATTACAGTCATATGGCGGGTTGAGAATCATAGCGATGTAAGTTACACTCGTGTTGTTTTCTGCAAAATGGTGTTCTACATTTACTGGTTAAAAGAAGTTCCATATACCTATTACAGTCGTAAAAACACGTCTACAGGGCCAATAAACCGTGAAAAAGTGTATGTTTGTAAAATTGTAGCACAAGGAAGGATTTTATACAATCTAGAAGCGAATTAATCAAGTATTTATATTTTCGCAATATTTATTATGGTTGTACGTTGTCCACTCAACACAGATAAATTTTGGCCAATTTTATTGCATTCTCTCGAAAGGTTGAAAAATCGTGCAAGCCGTTAGGGTGAACACTCCATATATACGTATGATAAATCTATCTGAATTAATTACAAAATAATATCCAGAATAATATACGATCCTTTTATTGTATAACCAGTTTCATCGATTACTATTTAATATTAAATAACTTTGACATAAAAGTATGACATTGATTCTTGATTATTTAGTATTAAATAACTTTGACATAAAAGTATTTGACAAAAAAATATGGCATTCCATTCATAAAACTAAAAAGAATAACAAAAAGACACCACTTGACGGCAATAACCGACTAAAAACTAAATGTTTAAAGATCATAAATTATCAAAATAAAACTCACTTATTCAGTCCAGATGTCAGAACCTCCGCAAGAGGTACCCTCAGCTTGTCCATTTTCGGACATACGTCGTTCCAGTTGCCTTCCATTACGATACGCACCAACGAAGTGATCTCCTGCGTCGGTGACACCTTCGTGTCATCTGTTGTCTCCATTGGTATGCCGGAAACAGCTGGAGTGCTGGTGGTACTCGAAACTCGGACTTCTGGCCGTCGAGTGCTCGGCACAAAGGGGCTGGAGCTAACCACCCGAGTGGCATCTGTCGTGCTAATACTCGTCGTCTCCGTGGGTCGAGCTATCGTTTCGGTCGTATTCAACGCAGATCGAGAATCTTTGGAATCTGGTGTATACAGCTCCTCCGATCTAACAGTGGTGCCTATATCATCATCGGTAATAGTGGTCCAAGTCTCGGTAACGCTCGTTTTCTGACCATCATCCTCCTTCGTTGAACTTTGAACGGTATCCTCGTCGATAACATTCGCCTCGGTGGTAATTTCGTCCCTAAGTTGCGTCGTCGGAGTTGACATCGACGTGGGGGATATCGTTTGATCAGTCACCGGAACACCTGTCGATCTTTCATCGGTGCTCGTCATCTCCGTCTCACCGGTCGATGAATTATCCGTTACCGTCGCGATCTTCACCGTAGAAGTCTCGTTCGAGGAACTTTTAGTAAACAAGTCCTGAACCGTTGGTACTGTCATAGTGTCATTCACCAATCCATGCACTTGGGATGTTTCCTCGGTGATGTTCGGACCAAGGACAGTGGTCGCTTCTGATAGTCCAACGAACTCGTACTCGATGGCGGTTGTAGTGGGCACGAAGTTTTCGTCAAGACTAGATAGACCATTGACACCGGAAGGAATTTCATTTGTTCCATTCGCGTCCAGGATACCGGGAGGCTCGGTAATGGTTCTGGTAGAGATCTTGTCGATAGTAGTGGCAGGCGGTAGGGTCGTGCTTTCGGGTATTTTCACGGTGGTGGTGTCTAGAAGAGAAGTAATCGTCGAATTTTCCACATCGGAAGAATTCGCTTTGCTCAAAGGGAACTCGGTGGCAAGCTCCGTGGCGTTCAGGGTCGAACGAATCAGCATCGAGCTCTCTGGGTTCGTTTGAACGTCGGCGTTCGAGGGCATTCCGGCAGTCGTTTGCGGTTTCGCCGTTGTTGCTCGGTCGCTTTCGTGGAACGACGGCCCGTAAGTTCGTTTATCGACGCTCTCTGGTTTTACGCTGACTTCCGTTATTCCGTTCCCAGTCATGTCGAAGTTCCCCCTTCCCGTGATCGCCTCGCGACCTTCACTCCACCGGGGAACATCATTTCCCGTGGTCGTCGATTTTTCTTCGGGTTTCGTGATTGTCTTCGGATCGATGGGCTCATCGACGGCGGACAGATTCGTCGGCCGTGGTTCGTCCAACGTTACGGTCGTCATGGGAATGGAGGGACGGGGCGGTGCGGTTGAAACAGTCGAGGACTCGTTGCCTGCTTTCTCGTGATACGTCGGCTTCAGCTGCTGAATGCTGTTCTCCAACACATCGGACGCCTCCGTGACGATGAACTTCTCGTCGGATTGTCCTCTGCCAATCGTGTTCTCGAACGCGGACACTTCTTCTGTCGTAGCGTCTACCTGATTACTGGTATTATGGACTTCCTCTTTGACGGTTGACTTTACGTAAGGATACGGTCTTTGGTCCGTTAGCTTTTCGCCGCTGATGTTCTTCTTTGAAAGCGTAACGTCGATCTTGGGGGTCGTCGTGGGTTTTGTTTCTAGATTCGGGAACTCATTTATCCCCGAAAAAGCGATCGTTCTGCCCCTAGGAATGGGACTGGAGGAATCCTGAGGAGTCGACGTTTCATGGTTTGGTTTCTCGGTTGAACGTTCCTCTGGCTTCTGTTGATTTTTCTCATCGATCACATCGCGCATCTGTGCTACGGCTTCGCCGATTTTTGTAGAATTCTGAATCGAGTGTTCAGCCCGATTCGAACCTTGGTTCGATTTGTCGACCAATTCTGCGTGCTTCGTGGTTGCATTTTTCGACCCTTCTTCGATTTTCTGAACCGCGACATCGGTCACGTTACCGACAACCTCTACGTCCTCCTTAGGATCCCTGGCTTTTCGAGTTATGGCACTGTCTTCGGAGATAAAGTTAGTCGCTTTCTCGACAGCTCTTGACTGGTTTTCCGTCTCCGAGTTTTTATCCGTCGAGGTCTTATGGTGGTGGCTGTAGTTGACGTACGTGTCGTTGATTAACGAGATAGGCTCGCCGTTCCCTTTATCCTCGTCAGCCTCCTTCAGGTCTGGTACTTCAGCGTTCTTCACCGGACTCGAAGCATCCGTCTTTTTAGTTCTCGCTGGAATCTTCTCTGAGGATAGAGCTTTCTGAGTGGTCGACTTGTCTTCGAATTCACTGGTGTCAAATATCGTTTCGGTGATCTTTGACTCTTTCGAAGAACCTACAAGTTCTGGCTTCGCAACAATTTCATCCTCACTAGACCCAGGTGATTTTGCGGTTTTGTTCGCTTCATGGTAGCCAGTGTCAGGTACTGTTTCGTTTGTCTTCTCGTCGGACCTGGTCTCCTCTGACGAGGACTTTGTAGTCACGCTGGTCAGATCGTTTGTTCTGGATAGCCTGTAAGAGACTTCGGAAATTGTCTTCGTGCTCGAGCTCTTCCCCGACGTTCCGTAGAGGCTCTCCTCGAGCTTCGAACTTCCGTTATTCGAATCCGGGGTCGATAACCTGTCGCCTTCGTCGACCAGCCTTATTCCTTGTACTTCAGAGTCTTTGTCGATCGGCGGTGCTACTTTCTCCTCGTCCTCCGATTTGCCGTCTTGAATAAGTCTGCTGAACGCTGGCTCCAGATTTCCTTTAGTCACATTGTACGAATCGATCGCTTCCTCGTTGCAATCCAACAACGGTAACTCCTCCGCCTCCTCTCTCGACGGTATTTTGTTCAATATTGTTTTGTTCTTCTCGGCTATCGCCAATTCGGAAGCGTTCGACGCAAGGACTTTTCCGAGGACTGAGGGCTTACACTTCAACGTTTGAGCTGCAACGGCGCTGAAGAGCAGCAGGAACGTACCTGGAACGTATAATTGTTGTTGACCACTTTAGAGTGTTCGTAAATTCCTATCGATGATATATACTTTTGATATATAATTTCCTTTAGATGATACATGTATACGTAGACTTTTAAATGTTAACATTAGACCACGGATTTTTATGCAAATTCAGAGGCGTATAGATTGATTTATCGAACTGAAATTAATTTAGACATTAATTTCCTTTATTCGAGATTTTATTAGGTCCAAAATAAAGTAAAACTTACAGTAATCTTTACTAAAATTTTTACTATGTTGTGTTTTGCACAAAATCCGCAATCTAGTTATCATACTTTGTTCACTTAGATATTTATATTATCCTTTAGATAATGAATGTATCTTAACTTTGAAATATTATTTAATGTAAAAAAATTCAAGAAGCATTTGTGTCTAATGTTACAGTGTGTTCGTAAGTTAAAAGTGGCTTGTTTAATTCTGTCAACTATGTCCACTAAATAAATTGAATTCAGCTCCATTTCGATATATACAAATGTATCATATAAACAACTGTAATCATAATATAAAAATCAGTAATCATATAAACAAATGAAGGGATATGTCACGGTTTATAGTGCAACAGAACTTTTTTAACAGTCGAATGTGAGACTGATCTCGATAATTGTCCGCGAAATACGAATTATTCTATATTACCGTATTTCAAATCTTACATTTCGCCACAATTGCCCATTTATCTTCCCTAGTGAAACAATGTTGTCAACCAAATATTAAATATTAAAACAAAACGCCCATAGATGAAGTGTTAAGAGAACCATAAAGTTGTTGAACGTATTAATTCTCTTATGGCGCATGAAGTTGAAGTAGGAAAGATTTAAGTAATTTACCTTCGAAGCGAAATAATAATTTTTAACTTTAACTGCATACAAAGATTTCGATTTTTAACTTCAACTGCATACAAAGATTTACGATGTATACATAGGGGCTCATAAAGAGTACTTCGAAAAGATACAGTTGAAAAAAAGAATAAAATTTTCTCGGGTGATGCTTCGTTTTCGATTGCAGACAGTTTCTACTCCTTGTTAGCACAAATACACGTGGTTTAGATGAATTTGCAAATCCAGTTTGCTCGAAACCGATGAAATGAAGAAATTTTATTCTTTTTTTCGACTTACTTGGCATGTAGAAACATCAACTGGCCGGTTGTACCACGATTTTTGGAACACCCTGTATAGTGTAATAAATCCTTTGATTGCTCTGGGCGCATAGATACAGGGTATTCACGAAGTTTAAAATATTTTTCACTAGTATACTTATTACAATGTATTTTTCAGCTCTATGAATTACATTTTTGGTGACTTTTGCTAATATTGTCCGAAATATCAATGCACGCGCTTCTGTGGGTGTTCTTTATAACTCGTTTATATCTCTGGACGGTGTATCGTAAACCATATCTTTAACAGGGACCCATAAAAACAAATCCAGTGGTGATAAATCTGGAGATCTCAAAGGCCATTAGCAGAAGCCACCAAAAATGTAATCTCGTATTCTATGTATCGTTATCAATAAGAAGTACTAGTAAATAACGAAATATTCGAAATATTTCTTTCATTTCTGACCATGTATGACTTTTAAAGGCTATTGAATTGCACATGGCTGAATTTGTCTGGACATATGTTTTCACATAATATAAAAAAATATGTGGCATTCCATTTATATAACTAAAAGTCACCTTCGTTTGTTCAAAAGTATGAGAAGTATACAGAAATTTTTATATTTATGTTTTATTTATGTTTATTATTTTATGTTTGTCACAACAAGCAATAATACATTTTCCTTTTTCATTTTTTCCGTATACGTATCATTTACGAAAAAAATGCTGGCTAGTAAGTGTGTGCAAACCTTGTACATGTATATGTCCAACAAATAAAGATTTTCTCAAGAAATATTTACCTAAATAAAAATTAGATCAATTCGATAATTATTATATAATTTTCTAACAGAGTCAAACTAGAAACTCAACTATACATTGTATACAAAATGAATAATTCTATTCAGTATTCAGCATTTACTTTTGAAAAGTATAATGAAAAGGAAATTCAAAAATAAACTGAAAACTTGATAATGGGCTGAAATCTCAAAAATGCATTGAAACTACGAAAATTACTTGAAAACTTGAATATGAACTGAAAACCGATAAAAGAGCTAAAATCATGAATATGGTCTGAAAACTCGAAAATGAGCAGGAAACTCGCAAAGTTACGAGAATTCGAAATTATATTGAAATCTTGTAAAGGTTATGAAAACTCGAAAAATTATTCCAAAAAGTGTTTCTAAATTTGTGAAAATCTTAAAGTCAGAACAAAAAACAATTTCTAAATTATGGACGTATTACGTATTTCCGTGCAATCATTGTATCGCCAGAAATTATGCATGAATGATTAACAAAGCAGCTGTCGATAACAATAACTGGTTTTCACGATAAGACGGGATAAGGATGAACGGAGCGTAGATGAAGCTTTTAATGGATTTAAAAACCGGTTGGCCGAGAATTAAGTCGGCAT